TAAATATCATATGCCATTTGTTTTTGTTTCCTTTCAACTTTTGTGTTTGTTGAAAGTTTAGAATATTTTCGACTCTAAGTCAATGAGATGTTCTATAATGAACTGTTGGTTCAGTGAAGTAAACTTTTCCATCTGTGTCTCGAAAGCTCCTTCAGACTTCAATATTTTATTTGTGAGAGGTCTGTTTCTTTTTTGAGATACTAGCCGTTCCATTTCTATGAAAAGTGACTTTATAGTTAGGGTTTGTATTTCCAGACCTGGCACTTTCTATTATTGAATTTTCTCTTCATCTGTAAGTTCTTTGACAGGTTTTGACAATGGTTCTGAACTTTTTGTTTGTGGTCTCAAATCTACCGTTTCAACTTCTTCGGTCATTTCATCTCAGTAAAAAATTTTAGTTTGGTTTGTTTTCAACTGGTTGTTGTTGTGGGGTGGGATGGTTCCTTTAATAATATCATTCAGTTTCACATGCTGAGCCTGACTATATGGTATCGGTTTAAATGCTGGAAGCCGACAAATCCATCTTGAACTCTTTGTCTCAATGCTGCATTGTTCATTTCATCCTAGTTAAAAACCTTACATTTCCCAAGTTTTGAGGGGTTGCGGTTGGTTATTGCTTACCCATTGTTGTGCATGGTTATATCCTCTGTTAAAGAATCTTTCACCTTGGTCCATATAGTGTCCTGCTTGGTTATAGTAGTCATTTGCTTTGTTATAATAGTTTCCTGCTTGTCTTCCAGCATTGTCCATCCATCCTTGAACTTTTCCTCTTGTTTCAGGATTTGGAATAAGATTTGTTGCATCTCGTGCTACATCCCAACCTTTCTGTACAGTTTGTATAATAGGTTGTGCTTTCTCTTTAAGTATACCTAATGTACTCAAAATCTTCCTTCCAACTCCAAATACACCTCTGGCTATTGTTCCCACTGCGGGTAAAAATCTAGATGCGACTCCTGCTAATGCGCCAAATAAACCCATTTCTTATGGGTTAAAAAATGACGAATCCAAACAAGGACCCGTATGTTTCTAAGGCAATAAAGAAAGCACTCATGATAAAAATCTTTAGTTCAACACCAAATGCTTGGTTTATGGATATCTTGGAAAACATTCCGAGGTATAGAGAAGATGGACCACCATACTGGCTAATATTTGTCGGTCAAAACACAAGATACTGTGAAGCCATACCATTATGGTCCAAAAATATTTTAGATGTGAAAACTGCTTTGACAATATTCGTTGACAAATACCATCCAACAAAACTGACATCTGACTGTGAAAGTTCTTTCAAATCAGACGATATTAAAAACTATCTGCGTTCAAAAAATGTAAACCAATATTTCATTGTCGACCAAAACCATTCTGCTCTTGGTGTCATTGACGGTTGTATAAAAATGTTAAGAGACTTAAACCAACCACAAGGTGGTGAGGTAGATGAAATGTCATATGACGACAAGTATAGACACTTCTCCATGGCAAAAGATGAGACAAGTTTTAAATATTTACAATAACCGTAAACAAAAAGGTTTGGGAAACCACTCCCCGAAGAAATGAAAAACAACCCTGACTTAGAGAAAGACTATATATTTAATAATTTAGTCAAAAGAGACAAACAAGAAAGAATGCCGGGCTTCAAACTTCAGAAAGGTGACAAAGTAAAAAATAGAAATACCTAAACGCGACCCATATGAAAATACTATTGACTATGACAACAATGGGAACTCGACAGGTACTCACATTCGTGTTCGTAAAAATAGAAGAAAGTATACAAGAGAATATTATGAAGTTTTAGGCAAACATGGCAAAATGTACACACTGCAAGCAGAAGATAAAACTACTATTGTCAGACCTCGTTTCAAACTTGTCAAAGTTCAAGTGGTATACTTTCAAAGACAGTTCCTAACAAATATAAGACAACTCCTGACGAATATGCTAAAGAAGTTGAAAATGACGACTAAGCAATTCTATACCATGCGTAAACTGTCATGTAAGGTGGCATGTATTCTTTACTTTGTCCCGTTGTTTGCGTATATCCTGAAACGAAATGTGTATGGTTTCCTTCTCCCTGAGTGTTATTCCAGTAACAATTTATAGCAAACTTAACGTCGTCTTTAACATCATATCCTTTACCTTTTGTCATTCCTGACCAATCCCAATATCTATGACTATGCCAACCTGCTTGAGATGTACTTAAATCTATGTAATGACTGTGTGCAGGTAAATTTTCACCTGAAATCGTTTTACTTCCACCTGTTTCCTTTGAAGAGTTTGCACAATACAAAAACCTGTCGACTATTTTTCCCATGCACCAACACCAAACATTACTTGAGGACCTCTTGCATCCATAGATGTATAAATAGAACCTACTGGGTTCATTAAATCAAACATATGAGATATTATAGGATTGTCTCTTTTGAACTTAAAATATAGTGCAACTATTTCAGGTTTCTTCTGGTTTGTGTCAGAATATTTTTATAATATAATCTTATGTTTCAGGGTAGGTAAAATCTTGACTATAATATTATTTCTGTCATCTGTATAATAATATACTATTCTCGTTTTTTCTATTGCATTATATCTTTTATATCTATAATAATCTAAATATAATGTTAGCTTTTGTTCATCTACATGTGGTGTTCTGTCGTCATCTCCATAGTCATAATAATGTGGTGCCAGAGCTGGCGTCAGGTAATATCATATCCACCATTTCATAAACTCTTAAATATTTCTTTTGTTCGTCTCCATATAAGTTTAAGTAGCAGTTGTTGTCTAATGGAACTTTAACTTGTGTACCATCATTCTTTTTATAGCTTACATACATTTCATTGTTATTTTTCGGAATGAGTTTATACCGTGTACCATTTTCTAAGGACTGTACCAACTGCCATCTAAAATATTTATTTTCTTCATTGACAGAAAAGTCACCAACAATAGTTTCAATATTTTTGTTCCTATCAAACTTTGGTATATTTCATTGACATATGTTTATCTGCTTTATTTTCAAGGCTAACGTTTAAGTCTGTTATTTCAGAAGATGTATGTGTATGTCCAACGGCACTTTTCCTGTTTAAGGTTTCTTGTAAGTTTGTAATATTTGCAATGGTATGTGTATGTCCAACGTCACTTTTCCTGTTTAAGGTTTCTTGTAAGTTTGTAATATTTGCAATGGTATGTGTATGTCCAACGGCACTTTTCCTGTTAAGGTTTCTTGTAAGTTTGTAATATTTGCAATGGTATGTGTATGTCCAACGGCACTTTTCCTGTTTAAGGTTTCTTGTAAGTTTGTAATATTTGCAATGGTATGTGTATGTCCAACGGCACTTTTCCTGTTTAAGGTTTCTTGTAAGTTTGTAATATTTGCAATGGTATGTGTATGTCCAACGGCACTTTTCCTGTTTAAGGTTTCTTGTAAGTTTGTAATATTTGCAATGGTATGTGTATGTCCAACGGCACTTTTCCTGTTTAAGGTTTCTTGTAAGTTTGTAATATTTGCAATGGTATGTGTATGTCCAACGGCACTTTTCCTGTTTAAGGTTTCTTGTAAGTTTGTAATATTTGCAATGGTATGTGTATGTCCAACGGCACTTTTCCTGTTTAAGGTTTCTTGTAAGTTTGTAATATTTGCAATGGTATGTGTATGAGTCTTATCTGCTTTTGTCTCTAATGTTTCCTTAAGACTTGGTATTTGGTTAATATAATGTATATGAGTCTTTTTAGAATATTCGTTTTCAGCTCTTGTCACTTCACTTGACATTTTATTGTCAACATATGTTTTGTCTGCTAGTTCAGGATGAGTATGTTCTTTTGTTGCATAAGCATTGTTAGCTCTTTCTTCTTCTTTTGCTATTGCATCGTCTACATATTCTTTGTCAGCTTTGTTGTCAACATCTGCTTTCAAAAGAAGTTCATTTATAGGTTTCTCGTTTAAAGTTTCTTTTGTTGGATTTATACAGACAGTATTGTTCTTATTGTCTTGAAATAGAAACTCATCTGTTATAGGGTTTAATGTCAGTTTTAAGTCACACCCTTTCAATGACTCAGATATCTTAGAATAGTTTGAAAAGTTTGTTGTGTTCTTATTTAGAGCTTGCATAATGAGTTGTCGGTTGTGTTGTATTTCTCTCATAGACGCTGTTTCATTTGACATTTTTATTATATATAAAATATGCTTCCAATAGAAAAAGAAAATTCTAGAGTTGCTACAACTAAACCATTAGATGAACTTTTTACTAATGTCGGTCAAAAGTTTGAGACAGATACCGTAAAGCATGAAGGCTATCGTTTTGACTACCCATTAAGATGGTTAAGAGACCCATCTGTCACAAAAGCTATTGGCTTTCGAAGAATAAAGTTTGTGTCTGTAGAAGAAAAGTTTTCCATTTATTGTAAGGTTTCATATAGATTATACATCTGAAGGGCAACGAAAAATGTGGGAAGAAATTGAGCTAATACAAGTTGACCTCTCATCTTCTCTACAGACTGCATTAAAAAATATAGAAGATAAAATAAATTCATGTTATGCAAAATTTGCTGATGAATATGCGAATGCCGATAGCACACTTTATGTGAGAATTGTATATGACAAACAAAATTCACAAGTGTCATTTCAAATCTACGAAGACAATCCAAATAAAGACGAACAAATATATACAGAATTCACTGCAATGTCATGGTATTATTTGCAAAGAATGTTAAATCAGAAAGTTGAACCTCCTTTAGCAAATATCTACAGTCGATATGCAAGAGATGAACCATATTTATTTAAAGATGTTTTCGACCAAGATGCTGTGATAGTTCATGCTTCATTTTCTGGCGCCCAAAACTCTTTCTTATGCTTGGCAAATGACTTTTACGAAAAACCTACAAAGTTATACGAACCACCAAGTGGAAGTATTTCAGACTTTCAAGTATGGTTTACTACAGATGGAAGAAAAAGAATAATTCCATTATACCATGCGTTTTACTTAGAACTTAGTTTCATATACAACTACTATCGAACGGTAAAAATATAATTTTTTAATATACCGGTTGTGGTTGCCAACTTGACTGTGGTGCAGGTTCAGGCTGTTGTATTACAGGAGCTTGTTCTTCTGGTTCAGGGTCTTTAGGTATAATACCAACAAACTGACCTACTCTTTTACCAATATTTTTGACTCCGTTCCAAATTCCTTTTCCTACGGTTTTGACGCCATTCCATATACCTCTTCCAACTCTTCTGAAGAAGTTTCCAATACTACTGAAGAAACCCATTTACTACGTGTAAAAATCTAATGTCCGCCTAGTCTTTTGCGTTTCCTGTTGAGTTCCATAGCATTCTTTAACTGGAGCTCATACATTCTGTTTCTCCTCTGGTAGAAAACATATTCTGGGTCAACTCCTGTGTTCGCGTCATCTGCATAAAGTTGTTTATATCCCACTTCAGGGTTTGTATAAAACTCTTTCCATCTCATATTTGCATACCATGGTGGCAAACCTAACGCAGCGTCATTTGACATGGCAGTTTGCATTTGTACATCTGTTGGCACTTGACCATAGTTTGCCATTGCAGTTTGTATTCTAACTTCATTTGGAATATTCTCTGGGTTTGGTTGTCCAGGTTGCTGTGCATTCGCTAAGTTCTGTGCGTCCATTTAATATTAGATAAAAATATCTCTTACGAGTACATATGCTGAACATTTGCAGGCATTGGTTCATCTTCATATTCTCTGTACTTTTCTGCCACGTCAAATAAATAAATGACACAATGGAAAAAACCTAAAACAAGTAGTCCTATTTCAAACCACATTTACTTACTAATAAAATTTCTTTATTGTGACACTTTCTCCAGTTTATAGGACCTCTCTCATATTCTATCTTGTCATATATAAACTCATAGTCATGTATGTCCTCTAACCATCTCATAACGGTTTCCAAACCACTTTTATCGGATGTAAAGTAAAAGCATGGATGGTTATGTATAACGTCTAAAGTTTCTAAAGAGTCTCTCAAAGTCCAGTCTACTTGGTATTGAAAATCCCATGTGTTATAGAACGGCGGTCCACTATAAAGAAAACATTTTCCTTGTCTTTATATTTTTCATACAACTCTGTCCAATGACATCTCACAAACTCTATACCCTCAATATATTTTTCTATGTTCTCTTTGAAAACATTTGTATAGTTAAGATATAAAACTTTTGACATAAGTGTTTCAATGTCATGAACTCTTATAGAACCACTATATAATAGTCTAGCAGATATACTATTCCAGTCTATATATTCTGCTTTTTTCAAAACCTCTCTCACAATATTTTTCTTATCTAATGGTATACGTTCCATCTTACCTATAGGTATCTTTTCTTTTAACTCTTTCAATATATTGTTTGTGTCTGGAATATGTTTGAGACGGTCCATATAGTTGTCGAAGTCATTGCATATAATCTTTGAGTCAGGAAATACGGTATGACATAAATGGGATATATAGAAACTTCCACCGAACAAATCTACAAATGTTAGACCATTCGGTAGTTTCTTAAGTTCTCTCAATATAATATCTTTACATCTACTCTTATTCCAAAGAACGGTAACGGTGGTTTTGTAAAATTCATTTATATATAATAATAATGTTTTTACCCGAAAAGTGATAGAAAAGTGACAAAACATGAAAACATATATAATTTGTGAAAAGTGACACAAAAAGTGATATTTAAAAAAGTGACACCATTAATATGATGTAAATAACAACGGTTTTGGTTTTGTCACCGGCTGGTCGGCTGGGGTTCGGTCCTCCTCTTGGGTCTTGGGCAAAATTTCTTATGAGCTAGAGGGCGCAACGCGCCTGGAAGCCCTCCGAATAAAAACTTCATTTATACTAAACATCTTCGGGGCTAGAGGGCGCAACGCGCCTGGAAGCCCTCCGAATAAAAACTTCATTTATACTAAACATCTTCGGGGCTAGAGGGCGCAACGCGCCTGGAAGCCCTCCGAACAAAAACTTCATTTATACTAAACATCTTCGGGGCTAGAGGGCGCAACGCGCCTGGAAGCCCTCCGAACAAAAACTTCATTTATACTAAACATCTTCGGGGCTAGAGGGCGCAACGCGCCTGGAAGCCCCACTACCTTTTTTTTATGATATGAATGACTAAACTTTGAATTTTGATTGTTCTCAATTTTTGATAATTAAGTTTTCAAATGCTAATATTAACCCTAATAAAGTTTTCTATATATTTATAAGCAATTCTCGATCTTCTTTTCTTATCGTTTGTTTTTCAATTATCAGAATCTGTGTAAATATGAGATTGGTTGGGAGTATCCATGATGTAATAGGCATGTACACCCATGATGATTAATGTTAAAATCAATTTAAATAAAGGAAATTAAATTATTTGATCTCTGTAAATATAGCAGAATTTGTATTTAAACATATACTTCAAGATTAACCTTCCTATTACATTGCATTTATAGTACCAAATATTTAAAATTTGGCGTAGATTATGAAAAAAATAAGAATTTATTACGACTCATTATTGTAATCTATTCAATATTCAAAGGTTTACAATGACCAAAAAAAATATTCGTTAGAGGTTTTGTAGTTTCTTCATTTGGAACAAAAAGAATATATCCAATCATATAAATGATTTAAATGAAATGTAATTTTGTTGCATTTCATTGAATTATTTCTTCAGTTGGGCTAAATCAATTCCATATTTGGATATTTTATTTTATAACAATATAAATAGGAGTTCATTATGAATCACAATATAGTAACCAGTCATATGTACTAATTATTAATTTTTTGATGTGAAATTATATAGAATTTGGTTTGGAATTGATTCAAGAAAAGATAATTGCCGATATATAAAATTCTTATGTAAACTAAGTGAACCGTGCTTTGTCATCTAAATACTTTTTAGACATTTCATCCTGAACAGAAATTCGGTTTGTTGTCACTTTTTAGATTTCAAAGAATTCAATTTTGAATCAAATCCGTCCATCTGACAAAAATTTATTGGATATAAGGGTTTCGTTTTGCTAAAATTGTCACTTTTATAGCATATTTGTTTTTGGATGTTTTGCGAAACCAAAAAAAAACTATGATATAAAAAAAAAAAAAAAAAAAAAAAAAAAAAAAAAAAAAAAAAAAAGGAAGTGGGGCTTCCAGGCACTTCGTGTCTTCTAGCCCTGATGTTGATGTTTAGTATAAATGAAGTTTTTATTCGGAGGACTCTTCTTCTTCCTCCATTGCTTCTGGGAAGAAGCCTTCTTCTGGGTCGAAAACATTATATAATGTGTCGCTTTTCACAAAATATATATGTTTTCATGTTTTGTCAGTTTTCTGTCACTTTTCAGGTAAAAACATTTTTATTATATATATAAAATGAATTTTACAAAACCACCGTTACCGTTCTTTGGAAATAAGAGTAGATGTAAAGATATTATATTGAGAGAACTTAAGAAACTACCGAATGGTCTAACATTTGTAGATTTGTTCGGTGGAAGTTTCTATATATCCCATTTGTGTCATATAATATTCCCAGACTCAAAGATTATATGCAATGACTTCGACAACTATATGGACCGTCTCAAACATATTCCAGACACTAACAAAATATTGAAAGAGTTAAAAGAAAAGATACCTATAGGTAAGATGGAACGTATACCATTAGATAAGAAAAATATTGTGAGAGAGGTTTTGAAAAAAGCAGAATATATAGACTGGAATAGTATATCTGCTAGACTATTATATAGTGGTGCTATAAGAGTTCATGACATTGAAACACTTATGTCAAAAGTTTTATATCTTAACTATACAAATGTTTTCAAAGAGGACATAGAAAAATATATTGAGGGTATAGAGTTTGTGAGATGTCATTGGACAGAGTTGTATGAAAAATATAAAGACAAGGAAAATGTTTTCTTTATAGTGGACCCGCCGTTCTATAACACATGGGATTTTCAATACCAAGTAGACTGGACTTTGAGAGACTCTTTAGAAACTTTAGACGTTTTACATAACTGTCCATGCTTTTACTTTACATCCGATAAAAGTGGTTTGGAAACCGTTATGAGATGGTTAGAGGACATACATGACTATGAGTTTATATATGACAAGATAGAATATGAGAGAGGTCCTATAAACTGGAGAAAGTGTCATAACAAAGAAATTTTATTAGTAAGTAAATGTGGTTTGAAATAGGACTACTTGTTTTAGGTTTTTTCCATTGTGTCATCTATTTCTTTGACGTGGCAGAAAGATATAGAGAATATGAAGATGAACCAATGCCTGCAAATGTCCAGTATATGTACTCGTAAGAGATATTTTTATCTAATATTAAATGGACGCACAGAACTTAGCGAATGCACAACAACCTGGACAACCAAACCCAGAGAATATTCCAAATGAAGTTAGAATACAAACTGCAATGGCAAACTATGGTCAAGTGCCAACAGATGTACAAATGCAAACTGCCATGTCAAATGACGCTGCGTTAGGTTTGCCACCATGGTATGCAAATATGAGATGGAAAGAGTTTTATACAAACCCTGAAGTGGGATATAAACAACTTTTATGCAGATGACGCGAACACAGGAGTTGACCCAGAATATGTTTTCTACCAGAGGAGAAACAGAATGTATGAGCTCCAGTTAAAGAATGCTATGGAACTCAACAGGAAACGTAAGAGACTAGGCGGACATTAGATTTTTACACGTAGTAAATGGGTTTCTTCAGTAGTATTGGAAACTTCTTTCGAATGTTGGAAGAGGTATATGGAATGGAATAAAAACCGTAGGAAGAGGAATTTGGAACGGAGTCAAAAATATTGGTAAAAGAGTAGGTCAGTTTGTTGGTATTATACCTAAAGACCCTGAACCAGAAGAACAAGCTCCTGTTATACAACAGCCTGAACCTGCACCACAGTCTAGTTGGCAACCAAATCCAACACCTCAACCGTATTAAAAAATTATATTTTTACCGTTCGATAGTAGTTGTATATGAAACTAAGTTCTAAGTAAAACGCATGGTATAATGGAATTATTCTTTTTCTTCCATCTGTAGTAAACCATACTTGAAAGTCTGAAATACTTCCACTTGGTGGTTCGTATAACTTTGTAGGTTTTTCGTAAAAGTCATTTGCCAAGCATAAGAAAGAGTTTTGTGCACCAGAAAATGAAGCATGAACGATAATAGCATCTGGGTCGAAAACATTTTCATATGTTCCATTAGGGTTTTTCGACTTCATAAAAGTTCGGGTGTACTGGATATTCTGCAGGCTGATTTAACATCCTCAAAAATCTATACCATGCCAAGTTGTTATATTTTGTAGAAATATAAACGTCTTCTCCAAGGTCTTCTATTCTATTGATTTTAACAGTTGCATTTTTTCCTGTCATAAACAATATCGAGATGGTACTCTCCTTCGTCAATGTTGTACTGTTTTGCATATTCGAGATAGATATCGTTTATTTTTTCTTGAAAAGCTTGAAGAGTTGTTTCTAAGTTTACAAGCAAATTCACTTTGTAAAAGTTTTCCCTGTTCAAATTTCTCATACGTACGTTTTTCTTTGTTATAGTATCGAACTTCAAAAGCGACCGTAAATGGAACCCATGTATGGCTTCTGAAATGAACTTCATTCTACGAAAGCCAACAGCTTTTGTGACGGATGGGTCTCTTAACCATCTTAACGGGTAGTCAAAACGATAGCCTTCATGCTTTACGGTCTCTGTCTCAAACTTTTGACCGACATTCGTAAAAAGTTCATCTAATGGTTTAGTTGTAGCAACTCTTGAATTTTCTTTTTCTATTGGAAGCATATTTTATCTAGAATAAAAATGTCGAAAGAAACAGCGTCTATGAGAGAAATACAACACAACCGACAACTCATTGTGCAAGCTCTAAATAAGAACACAACAAACTTTTCAAACTATTCTAAGATATCTGAGTCATTGAAAGAAGGAAACTTAAAACTGACGATAAACCCATTGACAGACGAGTTTCTATTTCAAGACAACAAGAACCATACTGTCTGTGTAAATCCAACAAAAGGAACTTTAAACGAGAAACCTATAGATGAACTTCTTTTGAAAGCAATGTTGACAACAAAGCTGACAAAGAGTATGTCATTGAAAAAGTTCAAGAAGAACATGACAGAGCAGATGCAACATATGCAACGAAAGAACATACTCATCCTGAACTAGCGGACAAAACATATGTTGACAATAAAATGTCAAGTGAAGTGACAAGAGCTGAAAACGAATATTCTAAAAAGACTCATATACATACCATTGCAAATATTACAAACTTACAAGAAACCTTAAACAGGAAAAGTGCCGTTGGACATACACATACCATTGCAAATATTACAAACTTACAAGAAACCTTAAACAGGAAAAGTGACGTTGGACATACACATACCATTGCAAATATTACAAACTTACAAGAAACCTTAAACAGGAAAAGTGACGTTGGACATACACATACCATTGCAAATATAACAGACTTAAACGTTAGCCTTGAAAAGAAGGCAGATAAGAACCATACACACGATTTCTTCGCAACTGTTGGTATAGGAAAATATTGCAGGGAACGGTTGAAGAACCTGATGGAACTGGTGGGGATGTATTAAATTGGAAACCTCCTAACTTTCCACAAGGTTTAACATCGGAGGATGACATAACGACGATGAAATACATTAGATGTAGAAATGTCTATGTCATGGAGGATGAAAACAATGTTAAATTCACTGCTCAAGATTTATATGATAAAAAAGCTGACAAAACATATGTTAACGATGAGTTAGATAAAAAAGCTGACAAAACAGAGCTTCAAACGTTAAAGACAGAAATACTTCAAAACAGTATATCCTATAGGTTCTATTTATGTTTCAATGAACTCTACCAAACCAGAAGTAGTACTTGTTTTGGAACTTGGACTCAAATAGTCGACAGGTTTTTGTATTGTGCAAACTCTTCAAAGGAACAGGTGGAAGTAAAACGATTTCAGGTTGAAAACTTACCTGCACACAGTCACTACATAGATTTAAGTACATCTGAAGCAGGTTGGCATAAGCATAGATTTTGGGATTTGGTCAGCAATGAAAAAAGGTAAAAATATGTTTAAAGACGACGTTCAGTTTGCTATAAATTGTTTCTGGGTAGCACACAGGGAGAAGGAAACCATACACATCGCGTTTCAGGGTATACGCAAACAACGGGACAAAGTAAAGACTACATGCCACCTTACATGACAGTTTACGCATGGTATAGAAATGCTTAGTCGTCATTTTCAACTTCTTAGCATATTCGTCAGGAGTTGTCTTATATTTGTTAGGAACTGTCTTTGAAAGTATACCACCTTGAACTTTGACAAGTTTGAAACGAGGTCTGACAATAGTAGTTTTATCTTCTGCTTGCAGTGTGTACATTTTGCCATGTTTGCCTAAAACTTCATAATATTCTCTTGTATACTTTCTTCTATTTTTACGAACACGAATGTGAGTACCTGTCGGGTTCCCATTGTTGTCATAGTCAATAGTATTTTCATATGGGTCGCGTTTAGGTATTTCTATTTTTACTTTGTCACCTTTCTGAAGTTTGAAGCCCGGCATTCTTTCTTGTTTGTCTCTTTTGACTAAATTATTAAATATATAGTCTTTCTCTAAGTCAGGGTTGTTTTTCATTTCTTCGGGGGAGTGGTTTCCCAAACCTTTTTGTTTACGGTTATTGTAAATATTTAAAACTTGTCTCATCTTTGCCATGGAGAAGTGTCTATACTTGTCGTCATATGACATTTCATCTACCTCACCACCTTGTGGTTGGTTTAAGTCTCTTAACATTTTTATACAACCGTCAATGACACCAAGAGCAGAATGGTTTTGGTCGACAATGAAATATTGGTTTACATTTTTTGAACGCAGATAGTTTTTTAATATCGTCTGATTTGAAAGAACTTTCACAGTCAGATGTCAGTTTTGTTGGATGGTATTTGTCAACGAATATTGTCAAAGCAGTTTTCACATCTAAAATATTTTTGGACCATAATGGTATGGCTTCACAGTATCTTGTGTTTTGACCGACAAATATTAGCCAGTATGGTGGTCCATCTTCTCTATACCTCGGAATGTTTTCCAAGATATCCATAAACCAAGCATTTTGTGTTGAACTAAAGATTTTTATCATGAGTGCTTTTTTGTTGCCTTAGAAACATAGGGTCCTTGTTCGGATTCGTCATTTTTTACCCTATAAGAAATGGGTTTATTTGGCGCATTAGCAGGAGTTGCATCCAGATTTTTACCCGCAGTGGGAACAATAGCCAGAGGTGTATTTGGAGTTGGAAGGAAGATTTTGAGTACATTAGGTATACTTAAAGAGAAAGCACAACCTATTATACAAACTGTACAGAAAGGTTGGGATGTAGCACGAGATGCAGCAAATCTTATTCCAAATCCTGAAACAAGAGGAAAAGTTCAAGGATGGATGGACAATGTAGGAAGACAAGCAGGAAACTATTATAACAAAGCAAATGACTACTATAACCAAGCAGGACACTATATGGACCAAGGTGAAAGATTCTTTAACAGAGGATATAACCATGCACAACAGTGGGTAAACAAACAACCAACCTCAACCGCCTCAAACGTGGGGAATGTAAAGTTTTTTACTGAGATGAAATGAACAATACAGCATTGAGACAAATAAGTTCAAGATGGATTTGTCGGCTTCCAGCAGTTACACCACGTGTTTGTCAAGTTCTTCCTATACCTCAGGAAGTTTTAGACCGACTTAAAAAACCTAAACAACCAGTTGAAAACAAACCAAACTAAAATTTTTTACTGAGATGAAATGACCGAAGAAGTTGAAACGGTAGATTTGACACCACAAACAAAAAGTTCAGAACCATTGTCAAAACCTGTCAAAGAACTTACAGATGAAGAGAAAAATTCAATAATAGAAAGTGCCAGGTCTGGAAATACAAACCCTAACTATAAAGTCACTTTTCATAGAAATGGAACGGCTAGTATCTCAAAAAAGAAACAGACTCTCACAAATAAATATTGAAGTCTGAAGGAGCCGCAGAGACAACAGATGGAAAAGTTTACTTCACTGACCAACAGTTCATTATAGAACATCTCATTGACTTAGAGTCGAAATATTCTAAACTTTACAACAAACACAAAAAGTTGAAAGGAAAACAAAAACAGATGGCATATGATATTTATGAAGATGTTGACGACACAACTGTTTCCTGCAGGGGGAAAAGTCAGAGGAACCGAAAAGTGACGAAAAACCGATAGAAGAAGAAAAACCAAAAACTGAAGATAAACCAAAACCAAAGTTTAGTTTCCAAACTAAACCAAGTCAACCTTCATTAGCTGGTATGGGTTGGCGTCAAAGACTTATGGCAGCAGGTGGTTATGTAAAGTAAAGAAAAAAAATATTTTTTATTTTTATAAAAATGCCCCCATATAGAATGGATAGAAAGTCTGCTAGAATAAAAGCAGAGTTGCAAAGATATGGTTGGAGAGTTTCGAAGAAGTTTAAATATAGGAAGGGAAGACCCATAAAAGTCTATGACAAACTGGCTGGTCTTCGCTACGAAATGGATTTGGAAACAGCACGTGCCAATTATCCAAACAGACTAGAGAGGTTAGAAGAAGAACGTCTTATGGACATGCCTTTCGATGTTAGTGAACCTCAAGTTGAAGGACACGACGGCTTTGCCAGATTCTACTGGAAACACGACGAACAATTGCATCCTTTGAGAAGGAAAAAAGGAAAAGGTGAAGACGCACATGCTCCCATGGAAAGAACAAGATATGCATATGAAAAGTATCGTGAAGTTAGAAGTCAAATTACATCTGGTCGAACCTTTACAGTAAACTTTGACGAAGGAAAGAACAAAGAAGGCTTCATGGGTGTACTTGCTGCCATACAAGACGGAAATAAGAAAGGACACAATCTCAGATTGACCATAACGGATTTGGATGGTCACATTTACTATGCAAATGGCAATGAACAAACAGCTGCAAAACTTCTTGACGCTTTCAAGACTACAAAGAGAGAACAATGGTTGACTCCGACTCAGACATTTTGAATGCAATTGAAGGAATTGCAAGTGTCAAGTTCGAATGGTACCAACCTAACCCTCAAGCAGTCAGACAACATGCTGGATACTTCCCGTTCATAAATAAGTCTGACATTGACTTGACAAGGTATGGAATTTACAATTCAATTGAAACAATTGTCAATGAACCTTGTATTCTTACATGTCTCAGGAACTCTGGTCTTGTTACAGATGAGAAGATGAAGTATCTTGAGTCATGTGTGAAGACAAGGTACATTCTCAGAGGTCAATTGGCAAAAATTGCACCGTTGGCAAATGTCAATATCCGAGTCAACATACCTACAGCTAAAGGTTCTTCACATGACGACTATGTTGTTGAGTTCAATTTACCATGGTTGAAGATTGCAATTGTCCACAACCACTTCATGTTGAACGAAAGTCTTACAAACCCATTGTTCGGAAAAGGCAAGTGCAACATTGTCAGAGCTGTAAACATTCTTTCGAGAAAGGTTTGTTGGAACCAATTCCAGATGACAAGCTGACAGAAACTTTTGTACCAAAAGACGAAACAAACTTTTCACTGTTAGCAAGACCAAAAGTTGTTCCAGACAAAGTTCTAGTACAAAAGAAGTACACAATTCCACAAGGAGTTGGATTGTTCGGATACCAACCTGAACCAGAAGAACTTCCAATGAGGTTGCAAGAACTTCAAGATGCTATAAACAAACTTCCATTGAGACATCCAATTGACGTCAAATTGTATTGGAGAGCATCTGAGTTAGGTCAGAAGGTTTTATATGAAACAGGTTGCTTCGACGATGTTTATGAGATAACAGGAGAAGTTTCTCAGAAGATAAGAGACTCACTTGAATTTCCACAAACTGGACCAATTGGTTGCGACAAGTTCGACTCAGATGAAAAGATATACTATGTCGACCTTAACGCTGCGTACATGAGGTTCGTCCAATATATTCCGACTGGAATTCCAAACGAAGATGGTGAGTTCCCGGGAAGGAACTATACAGTTGGAAAAGTCATACAACAACTGTATGATATTAGGAAAGCTTCAAACCCCAAACTTGCAATGACACTCAAATTGCTTATGAATTCGACATGGGGATATTCCATTAAGAAACCTCAAGAGATGAAGAGTAAACATTATGAGAAGGTCGACAACTTTGTTGAAAGGTTTTCTCCTTTTGTTTTGAAGTACGAATTCACTCAAGGTCAAAGTGGCTTAGTAACCACATTAAAACCTATTGTCGAACATTGGTCTTACCCTCAGTTCGCAAAGGCAGTCCTTGACAACTACAACAAATTCTTCTCCGAAGTCAAATCCAAAGTGAAGGTTTACTATGAGAACATTGACGCACTCATGACGAACGAAGAAGGGTACAACAAACTCATTGAAATGGGAATGGTCGGTGAAAAGATGGGCTGTTTTAAGCTAGATAAGGTATTTTCCGAAGTTCATGTAATATCGAAAAGGAAATATTGGGGCATACTTGAAGACGGCACAGAAATAAAACATTGCATGAAATAAAAACTTTTTTAAAACAATATTTTTTTTATTTTATTTGAAATGTACGCTGAGTTTGTTGGAGAAGACCGTTGGGAAACTTGTTTGTTAGATGAGAAATATGAAATTCACTGTTGTGAGTCATTTGAAGTCAGAAACAAAAAGACAAAAAGAGTTTTAAGCGAATGGGAGCGAAATGACGGATATGCTATTATGAAGATGGGTGGAAAACACTATCTTAAACATGTTGTCATTGCAACTCATTTTTATACTAAATCCTAACAATTTACCTTTTGTAGACCATATAAACCATATAAGAAACGACAATAGACTTGAAAACTTACGTTGGGTCACTCGTTCTGAAAACAATAAGACAAAGGCAAATTTGGAGATATTGTATTCGAATTTGTCGACGAACTAGAAGATGAAACAATTGAAATTACAGACTATGGCAAGCATACGTTTGAGTTTTACTACTATAGCGAAGAACAAGACTCTTTCTACTTTTATACCGGCGTAAACTATAGGAAATTACAAGTATATTTTACTAAGGCGGGCTATGCTTATGTAAACACTAGAGATACAGATGGAAAATACGTTCAAATACTTCTTAACAAATTCAAGAAGCTATATGGCATACCATTTTAAAACAGTATATTTTTACATATATTAAATGCTTCAGGTTGAAAAACAAAGAACAAAAGTAGCAGATACAAAAACGTTAGACTATATCTTTACAAATACTGGTAGGACTATATCAGATGAAGAAATTTCATCCCGAGCATACAGGTTTGACCCTCAAAATGTTATATGTCATGCAAGTTTCAGTTCAAGCAACAATAGTTTTCTTTGTATTGGTAAGGACTTTTATGACTTTGCTTCTAAATTCTATGAACCACCTAGTAACAGTTTCTCTGACTTTCAAGTTTGGTTCACAACAAACGGTGTGCAACATATTATTCCATTGTACTATGACTTTTATCTCGAATTGTCTTTGATATATAACTACGGAAAAGTGCTGAAAAAGTATTGAAAAATAATGTTTAGGGTAGAAGGTTAGATCTAACCTCATTTCTAACCTCATTTCTAACCTCTTGAATTTTCATGAATTTCCTTAAGATAGAAAAAAATAAAACTAACTTTATTTTTTTTAAGTTTGGTCATCCTTCACTGTATGACAAATATACTATATTTTACTTAAAAATATGCAAGCGGCTCATAGCTCAGTGGTATGGGCTACCTCGCTACAGGCGTCGAAGACCTCGGTTCAAATCCCGATTCGCGCAAGTTTTTTCCTTTTATGCAGTGAAATTTCATGTACATAGGTTACTTTGGTGTTAGACCCTAGTGAAGAAAATAGAACGATATAAGTTTACATTTGTAAGGTTACTTTGGTGTTAGACCCTAGTGAAGAAAATAGAACGATAGGAGTTTACATTTGTAAAGTTGGACGATAAAAATCTCTGCTCCTAGCAGTACTGCTACTGTCAGTAAAAGTACTGCTACTGTCAGTAAAAGTACTGCTACTGTCAGAAAAAGTACTGCTACTGTCAGAAAAAGTACTGCTACTGTCAGTAAAAGTACTGCTACTGTCAGTAAAAGTACTGCTACTGACAGTAAAAGTACTGCTAGTTGCAGTAAAAAGGAAAATTTGAGAGGGTTTTCGACGATAAAGTACTGCTACTGTCAGTAAAAGTACTGCTACTGTCAGTAAAAGTACTGCTACTGTCAGTAAAAGTACTGCTACTGTCAGTAAAAGTACTGCTACTGTCAGTAGCAGTACTGCTAGTAGCAGAGATTTTTATCGTTGGTGGTCCGACGGTTAAGCCACAAACGAATGTCCCACGTCCCACCAACCGAGTCCATTCCCAAACCAGAGGAACCTAAAGCACCAGCCCCTGCACCTCAGTTCCAGCAAGTACCTCCACCAAATTACTACCAATTTCCACCTCAAGGTTACTACCAATTTCCACTACAAGGCTTCCCGAACTACCCTCCTCAGCCTATGCCTTACTTCCCCAACCCTTGAATGTTTATGCAAAACCCTGCCCCACAATTCCAATCTCAATCCAAATCGAAGAGAGACCAAGACTTCGAAGAAGGTCTGAACCGTTTACGCAAAGATTATGCCACAGCCCCTATTGAGAGAAAGTTGTTCCCGGACCAAAAAAATATAATTTAGGGTAGAAGGTTAGATCTAACCTGTTTTCTAACCTGTTTTCTACCCTCTTGAATTTGTCATGAATTTCCTTAGGATAGAAAAAATAAAGTTAGTTTTATACAAAATTCATGCAGGAAATTCTTGAGTTTTGGTTGAAAGAATACGGTGGAGCCAAATGTGGCTCGACCTCAAAACAAGCATTTTATGAGCTTACAAAGGGTGTTATGAATGAATTCAAATGTATTTACATACATCCTGACCTCGTTCATTTTGTTCCCGGACCAAAAAATATAATTTAGGGTAGAAGGTTAGATCTAACCTGTTTTCTAACCTCTTTTCTACCCTCTTGAATTTTCATGATTTCATCGTATATGCTTTGTCAAGACTTCTTCGTATATGTTTTGTCAAGACTTCTTCGTAATGAGTGTAAAGGACCCAAAAATATATTTTATGTTAGAATGTTAGATCTAACATGTTTTCTAACCTGTTTTCTAACATCGTAGAAAACTCATGAAATTTCATGAATTTCCTTAAGATAGAAAAAGTATTGAAAAATAAAGTTAGTTTTTTTAAAAAAATATTTTTTATTTTTATTGTAAGAACATGTTAGCAACAACTTCACCAAACTCTTTAGTCATGAATCCAACATCTATGTTAGTAGAGATGAAAAGCTTCATTCCTTCTTCATATACTTTCGAAACAGAAATCCAGAAGATAAAGCAAGAACTTCTCCAAGGAGATTTAGACTGTAGTGCGAAAGATGAAACAAATGAACAGTATCTTTATGAAATGCAGGACCTCATCGACCATTTACCCAAATTGCCTGAAATTCAGCAGCAAAAACTCACTATTCCCGAATTTGACGAAATAGAAGTCAAAGCAACTGACTCAGTAGAAATAAAGAAGTTCATACGAAAGGTAAATTATGAATTCCTTGGATTTCATTGCAACCACAAAGTCATGGACAAAGATTGCGACATGGTATATAAGAACATCTCTGACATATATAAATCTGAAGAATTTAAGACCTACGACAACTTTGTTTCGTTAGTTGCTGAATGTGTATGGCAGATAAGAGATAAAGATAGAAGAGGCAAAGTATGGAACGAACAAATAAGACCCGCTATGTTTGAGTTAAAGAAAACCATTGACGCCTTAGTTGTTCTAGCAGGACAAATTTCAATGTACAATGCAAAAATGAACCCACAATGTTCTAAATGTAAAGCGGCAATGAGGAGATATAACTACTCCGTCAAAGAGATAGAACGTATGAGAAACGACTATGCAGACTTAAAGAAAGAAGCAGAAAAACCAGCAGAAGATAAAATGGACATGTTAGCATTTCTGAACAAAAACTATCCAACAGCAGAAGATTTCCTTCTATCTGACGTCAAGAAGAAGTATAAAGAAACCTTCGGCATTGTTAAAACTTTTGACATACTGACAGAAGAAATAGAAGCTACAAAACTGTTTAGAGTCTCACGAATTCATAACGTTTACCATGTGAAACGCTTATAAAATAACTGGGGTAGAAAAGAGGTTAGAAAAGAGGTTAGATCTAACCTTCTACCCTAAACATTATTTTTGCTGAATTCCGTATGAAAATTCATGAGTTTTGTGTGTTTTAGACCATGTTAGAAAACGTGTTAGAAAACATGTTAGATCTAACATTCTAACATAAACATTATTTTTACTGAATTCCGTATGAAATTTCATGAGTTTTGTGTGTTTTAGACCATGTTAGAAAAGAGGTTAGAAAAGAGGTTAGATCTAACATTCTACCCTAAACATTATTTTTGCTGAATTCCGTATGAAAATTCATGAGTTTTGTGTGTTTTAGACCATGTTAGAAAACGTGTTAGAAAACATGTTAGATCTAACATTCTAACATAAACATTATTTTTACTGAATTCCGTATGAAATTTCATGAGTTTTGTGTGTTTTAGACCATGTTAGAAAAGAGGTTAGAAAAGAGGTTAGATCTAACATTCTACCCTAAAATATATTTTTGCTGAAAAATGACCAAATTTCATGAATTTCCTTAAGACAGAAAAAATAAAGTTAGTTTTTTATAAAATATTTTTTTTATTTTGTATGTAAGAACATATATGACAAACACTGAGTTTGAAACAGTTAGAAAAATAGACAATAACACCAAATTGGTTAGAATAGGTGATTTAAACGTAAGATACTCAAAGAAATACAACAAATATTCTTTGTCAGACATTATATCTCCATCTGGAAAGAAAACAAACGACTGGGTTAGAAATGCTTCAACTCAGAAAATTTTGACAAGAAATCCTGAGCTTATGATATCGGTAAGATTCTATGGAACTACAGCATATCTTATAGACAAAAGTCTTATACCAATAGTTTTGTTATGGTTAGACCCAGTTGTTGGATATAACTTCATAACTTATGGTTCATTCGATACGGAACGTTGCAGTGAAGGCTTACTTTACATCGTTCAGAAACCGAAGGACTTCAATACAAAAAGATATAAGATAGGAAGAACATATAATATAACTAAAAGATATGACAGTACAGTCAATAGAGTCAAGGTTGTGTTCGTTAACGATATGAGAGCTGCTGAAACAGAACTACTCGAAAAGTTTGAGAAAATGTATGGTGCTCCCACGAAAGGTAAAGAAACGTTTGAAGTAGATGAGATAGATAAAGCTATAAAATTATTTGACGAAGTTGCTGAAAAATACATGTAAAGCGTTTATTTTTGGTCTTTTGTGAAAGACAGAAAAAATAAAGTTAGTTTTATTTTTATTTATTTTTTTATCCGGAATATAAAGACAGATATGTCAACAACAGAGAACACAACAACTGCTATCGTTCATGAAGCTATAAATGA